ATCAAATCACGTCACCGATATTCACTGGAACTACAATCATGATCAATACAAAAATGTTATTCACAAATCGATACCAGTGTAATATTATTTACAATAACATCTCATTAACGATGAAGCGAGTTTAGTAGACATGTATAATGAATGTTGAATTAGGTCATATTGACTATGAAAATAATCAATACACACTATACCATCAAATCGCACACAGTTGCGGAGTGGTCTGCCAGTCTGATGATTATCAGCAAGACAATGTTTCTCGTTCTCTCATAAAATCGATCAGCTCATTAGTCGTTCAGGCATTTCTCATAGTTAAAACATTCCATTTAGAATTGTAATAGTACATTTGTCAATTGAGTGGCAGAGTAAATTATAATGTGTATTTGCTTCTATCTTTCATTTAGAAGAGAATACTTCGTTGTTGTTTGCAGATATTCAAGGTGAGTGTTGTTCAGATTATTTGTATTTACGCTCAGTTCTCTTACAACCTGACATATCGGAATAGTTACCGCTACTTCTATCATTAGTTCATCGCAAGAAACAGTGTAGGATATTGTTCTGTCGAGCCACATTTCACAACCAACATGTTATGACTAGGAGTGGCTTGTAGTTTAAAGCTAATATCGATCGTTAATTTGATCTGTTTAACAGTATTCATTTGACTATATTCTATCAATCTGTATTATCAAGTGTCTGTGTACTTCATCCATCAACATTAACAGTCCGAAAACATCTTTCTAATACAATCATGAAAGGATCATTTTTAAGTAAATCAACTGGCATCGTATGTTGTCTCTATGACTTCGATCCATGCTGGTAGCAAACAAACTAATATAACTTGGTAGAAACGCTAAAGTGATGAATCACGTGAGCTTTAAAAATACTGGGAAATACTGAATATCACGATAGTAAGGTCAAATTCTAATCAATAAATATATGAACACTGATTCAATCTATCAACACATACTCAGCAGTCAGCTTAAGTTATCTGCGGAAGCACATAAACTTGCGAAGGATTGATTACTCCATTAAGTCATATACATGGGAGGGCCATGATATAAATATGATTGACAAAGGAATATTTCTTGACTATATCCATTTCCACTTCACAGTAATTCGACAATGCTGTTCATTGAGAGTTTTTTGGAGTAAGTGATGATAATAATGAATATTTGACATAAGTTCCGTTTGTATAATGAGAATACGGAGTTGATCTGAAAACAAAATGCGATGCAATAGTGTTATACATTTCAAGAAATGAAGCCACACATATCATTGTCTAGACATCTTTATAGAGGACTAATAATGGTCAATTTGAATGCAAAGTAATCATTAGAAATAAAGGATGGATGTCCAATACTTTCTTGTTTTTAGTGATGCCTTAAGCTCAGTCCACAAATGCAAACTATGAAAATTCTACGATCTCTGCGAAACCGCATACTGATAAAAAGTATTGTATTATGTAAATCATAAGAAGTGACCCCATCACCCTAGGCTATAAAATGCATTCAAAGTGATCAACTTATTTTAGTTACATCATAAAACTTTGGGTTTTACATAGAGTAAGGTTTCCGAAAAATTGAGCATTTGATTTGGAAAATTCCACTACAAGACGTTCAGAGTTATTTTAAGGTCAGCCTTGTAATCTGTTTATGTTCAGCATAGTTTTCTGCTCTCTGCTTTGATTGGGATATTCGAAAACAACTGATTACAACAAAACCGTCTAAGCATATTTTCCATCACTTGTAAGTGTATTGGTAAAATACACTTTCATAGTTCCATGTATCCATACACATACACGAAATGGCAAATGTAATGAGAAGTGACTCAATGTTCTATTGTCTGGTTCTTCTCCATACGGTCATGTTACTTTCATTTCAGAATAGAACTATGAATGTTTGAATGTTGAATCACTTTTGCATCGGTTGTAAATTTTATTGATGAATATCCATTCAATAATCATGTTTCAGTTGTCAGTCAGTTTCATATTCTCTTCAATCATGATATCGGTATTGTCAATCCGTTAAATGCTGTTGAAAAGTGAAATCCTACTAACCTTCATTTCTATGATAGTAGTAACAAAGATCTATGAGATTTTGATACTGACCGATAAGCCTTAATCTGCTACCTTTTTAACGAATCATCATCATCACCATCATCATTCCTTCATCAATCGTTCAACTCAAGCAGATCATTGCTATTTTCATACAAACAATGTAATATGATCTCATTCTGTACTTGATGAAGTTTTATTCATTCATGAATGGCAACATTCAAATAAGAAGATATGAGCTTAGTCTTAATTTCAGTTGTATAATATCAAAAGAGAGAACACACAATAGATGTTTAATGAAGAAATTAAATTCATTGTATTCCCTTCAGTATTCCCACTATTATTCGACCGACAGTTGATGTCAAAAGGACTGCTAGGTTGTGGGTTCGAATCTCGCGGGGGGTGAGGTGGTGGGTGCGTACTAGTGAGTAGTACCATACTAGGACGAAACGGTCGTCCACTGCTTCCAGATTTTCCATGATGCTCTAGCTTTAGCTGACTCATGAATTCAACAGTGAAATCATATCTATCTTCATATCTCTATATACATGTATTTACACATCATGTATCCGTCCAAATAGGAATTTTCAAAAGTAATTGTAAAATGTGATCGACAAATGAACTCACCAACGATAAAATAAAGCGCTCATCACCACATTACCTTCTTAGAACCTGTGTGAGTAGGTCTTGTTTATTCACCAATCACAATTCGACGTTCATCATGAGACAATATTTGCCTTGTTGACTCATTTTTCCTATCCTCCAGTTAATGTTCGGTATGTTATTTATGTCTCTGATTTTCGCTGTGTTGATAGACTGTATCGTTTATTTTGTATACTGATTGTGTTAATCTATGTTCTATAAACGGATAAAGTTCATCAAGCAATTAGCTTACTTGTTCTGACTTTGGCTAAACCAAGACTCTGTGTTCGACGGTCTAAAGAACAGCTTAGAGTTAAACCTGTAGAAAATTGCTTCCTACAGTGATATTCATGTATGAAAAACACTTGAATGATCAAAGTGAAAATACTATTCATATCACTGTCTTTTTTACTTACCAAATGCTTACCAGTAAATAGTCCCGATAAGAATAATGAGTGGTAATTTTTTTGGATCAAGTTATGAACCAATACTTTGTGTTTATTTTTATCGTATAGTTGCTAATTAACTAAACTAAACTATTCATATTCATGTCTCTCTTATTATGAGTTCTATTTTGACCTATAAACTGTTATTATACAATTTACCATTCTTGAGTTATTCCCTGCCTAGCAATCACAATCTCTCACATTCACAGCCACATTTGGCCATTTCTTGTACAAATATTGTTTTCTGTTTTATGGTAAGATGTGGTCGGCTTGATTGGTATATAAACAGAGTATGTTTGAAATACATGATTCATATCGCAGAGGCTGAGACTGGTGTTCTGGAGATAAATGGGTGGGCTAGGCTAGGCGAAAAGCAGGACCGATCAGAACTGTCGGCTGCTCAAGCGTGTTTTACGCGTCTTTGATCCGATCGATAAGTTACTGCTCTCCAATCGGCAGTCACAAGATATAACAAACACAACCTTGAAATCATACTGGGACGAAATAGTCGTTCACTAAGTCCAGGTTTCCTTGTTCAATTAACATTCATCGGATCTCTGGATCTTAAACAATTTTATTAAAGTGGGAAAAGCATCAAAGCACGAATAATGGACAGTGAAATCTCTCGATTCTACGGTAGGCCGAAAGTACACAAACAAATATCATAATACATCCAATCGTATATTTCCTGGAACACCAACATAAAATATATCGGGAGAAATTTCAAGAACATTGAAAGATTTAGTGGATACATTCAATCACTCCATCGAATTCCCTATACAATTCTTGCATAAGTTTGAGGAGATTCAAGTCAACAACGACGAACTGATGATGTTCATCAATGTAACGGCCTTATTCAGCTCAACTGAACCAAGCTGAACAAAGGAAACTCTATATCTGCTCCTCGTCAATCACACACACATACGAAGCTTCAAGACAAAGCTCAACAATCGAAAATGAATCAAACAACGAACTATCATTCTTGGACATGTTAATCACCAGAACCGGCACAAGAAATCTAAAGACTCGAGTATATCAGAAACCGACCCACACAGTTCAAATTCTCAACTACGGTAGCAACGACCAAAGAATTCACAAAATCCACTGCGTACAGACTTTATTCAAGAGAGAGAGCACACTGCAGCACACTTGCAGCTCGCAAAAAATGAAGAAAAATACCTGGTGACTGTGCTTCAAAAGAACAGCTACCCACACAACTTCATCAAGAAATATTAACTCAACACACCGGCAAAAGTAATTCATGTATAAGAACTAACAAACAGATCATCCTACCACATAACATCAATCAATTCTATACAAACTATTGGATGAAATGACAAAAGAAAAGAAACCCAAAACCATTTACAAAATAAACTGTTCCACTAGCGAAAAAAATTATATCGGACAAATTAGACGCCTTCTTCATCTTTGCCTGTATGAACATCAATTAATTTCCGGCGTTTAGCGTTATCCATGTATCTCCTTGCACATCCGAAATTGCATAATACTGTTGTAGAACCCGCCAGGATAGATTTACAAAACTTTCTTAAGGAATACAAATGGTTTTATGGGTCTGAAAACTTAGTTTACAATGTGCATTCGTTACAGCACCTCCCTGACGACGTTCGTGCACATGGACCATTAGATAACTTTTGAGCCTTTCCATTCGAGTCTTATATGAGACAAATTAAGGGTTCTGTGAATAGTGGGTTTGCAGTAGCTAAGCAAGCAGCTCAGCGTTATGCTGAAAAAATATCCTTCTGCGATAGGCCTCAACTTAGCTGTCTAACAAATACTACCCCAATAGGCGATAATGATGTCTCCAATAAACAAGTGATTATGTTTAAGAATAGTAGAAAAACTTAATTTAGGCCAGATAATGTGGTAGTAGTAGCAGTGGTAGTGGTAGTAGTAGTAGTAGTAGTAGTAGTAGTAGTAGTAGTAGTAGTAGTAGTAGTAGTAGTAGTAGTAGTAGTAGTAGTAGTAGTAGTAGTAGTAGTAGTAGTAGTAGTAGTAGTAGTAGTAGTAGTAGTAAACGGACAGCCTCGTTTAGTCACTGATTTAAAGAAGGATGGACTACTAAAATTTAGGTCTTTCACTGACCCACGCAATTACTTTGAAGATCCTTTCCCGTGGCTTGCAGTTTTAGTGTGGTTTGTTTATGGAATCCAGGTGAACAAAGGAGACCTTTGGGATTATGCCAATGGATCAGAAATAGGCAGATCTGTGTGTTTTTAGGCGAAAAGTTGACGATTCAGCGGATATTTAGGCGAAAAGTAGGCAATACGGCAGATATTAAGGCAAGAAGTAAATAATTCAGCGGATATTCAGGTGAAAAGTCGGACGTTCGGCTGAAATTTAGGCGATAAGTAGGCAATTTGGCTGATATTTAAGCAAGATGTTGGCAATTTATCGACAAAGCGGCACAAATGGGGAAATCCGCAATATTTCCCCCGGACAGGCGAAAAAGGCGACATTCTCGCGCGTTTTCCCCTTTATTTCTCCTTTCTCTTCCAAAGCATTTACCAAATTACTTCCCCTTTGTTCGCCTTTATTTCCTTCTTTTGGTTGCTTGGGTTTTCTTTGATGAAAATACTAATTTAGACTACGAAACGTGAATACATTATAACTTTGACACTTTAAATATCATATTTCTTTATAATGCACTTACATGTAAATCTATGTTGTCATGTATCAGATGTTAAATTTGTTATTTAATAGTTGTTACATCTATCGAAACGTCCAAGTCACTCGATTAAGATACACGCAAAATCGAAGTTTCCAAAACAACGATTTGTCTACAATAGTGGTTCTCTATTAAATAATACACAAAATTTAGTTACTAACCTCAACTTGTTAGGTTTCCGGGGCGTTTAAACGCGTCCTTCAGGTATGAAAATAAAAAAACTTACTTTAACAGTAACATAAAGAATAATTATAACATACGGTGGTGCAAAAGACAGCTGATAGCTGTGTCTAAGTTTGATAACAGTTTATGAACAACCGAAACCCCAACCCAGAGCAAAATAATATGGAAACTGCAACATGCTGAGTCTGAACAAATGCACAAACTGTGGATAACCGTTACAGCGATTGCGGTACAGTGAATATAATGATAAATACAATGTTAAGTACAATAAACATTATAAGTATATGTGAAGAATCCAGAACATTACAGTACAACTTGCGTTACAACATGAGTGTGAAAATTGATGCTGAATGTAAATAAGTGGTGTAAAACAATATACAAAAGAGTAGAAATGGAGCGAGTAGGAACAATGTAAGACACACTTAACAACCACTATGAAGAAAACTGGAAGCACTGAACGGCCGTTTCGTAATGATGAGTTGGTAACTGTCCCCAAAGACGGTTTTGTACTGTATATATACGTTTTGAATTGTGTTTGTTGTTGTTGCTCGTTTCTGACTGTCTGCAGAATATACTTCACCATACCAAGCTTGGACTTCTCCCTCTAGTTAGCGGGACTGGGACGTATCAATAGCTAGCTTACTGGTCTTTGGTCACCGAGTCTTGTTTCTTGTTCGCAGATTAAGTGAACTCGTGATGGCTTCAACCCTAGCATAATTACTCACAATCTCACCTCTAGTATGACATAAGGCCTTCACATGTCTAATTCGGGATCCATCACTGTAGATTCCTAACTTCAATGACGTCGCTATACTATATAAACATCATGAATTCCCACCGACAAATAAAATTCAGTTATATCCTGGTGAATTTAAAATATATGAAACTCACAAGTAACCATAATAGTTAGGGGTAAATGTTTATTTATTTGTACCGATGGTGATAAATCTTCATTATTTATTCATCAGTTTTAAGCTACTTGCAAGTAGTACAAATAGAAGTTTGTAAACGAAGAAAACTCATCGCAGTAAATTGTCAGCATATTGCACTGTAGCATGCTTAATAAAATGATTTTAAAAAATAGCCAAGCCTAAGGCATTTGGATTTGGGATCGCTAGTAAAATAGAATTATTTATATATCGAAATAACTATGATGTAATATGAATTCGGAATTAGAAATAAGAAACGTCCAAATTTTGAGCAATTTACCTTTTACTTTCTATATCATCATAGGATGCTTTGATGGTACTTTGTCAGCGTAGAGGTGTCGCGCGTAATCTATAATTTACCAATTAACTGGGTCCATCGCATCTACACTGTATGCACATTAACAGTGAGGATGCGTGGTCCCAAGAATTACTAAAAGAGTTTGAACAACTGCCTAATACTTCGTACTACTTTATAATATCTCATTTCTCAATAATCTGTGATACAAACTCTGTTCATAAAAACACTACTCATTTAGCAAATATATTTGGAAAATATTATGTACGAGTTATAAAGATTTTTAAATTCGGACATGAGAAATGTCTATATCAGAAAGTGTAAATAAGTGTAAATATGTGGAAGAAATGAGAATTTCACACATTTGATCGTTAGTAGTTGTTACTTACTTACGCCTGTTACTCCTCGTGAAGGAACATAGGCCGCTCACCAGCATTTTCCATCAAACCCTGTCCTGGGAAATCCTTTTCACCTCTTTCCATTTGTTATTCATCCTTTTCATATCTGCTTCTATTTCCAGACGTAATGTGTTCTTTGGACTTCATCTTTTCCGCCTTCCTTCAGGATTTCAAGTGAGGGCTTGTCTCGTGATGCAGTTTGATGATTTGCGTAATGTGTGTCCTATCCATTTCCATCGTCTTTTCCCAATTTCTTCTTCAGCTGGAAGTTGGTTTGTTCTCTCCCACAGAAGGCTATTGCTGATGGTATCCAGCCAATGGATGTTGAGTAACTTGCGTAGACAGCTATTTATAAATACTTGTACTTTCTTGATTGTGGTTGTTGTAGTTCTCCAAAATTCAGCTCCATACAGTGGAACTGCCTAGACGTTCGGATTGAAGATTCTCACTTTGATATTGGTTGAAAGTTGTTTTGAGTTCCATATGTTCATCAATTGTAGGAATGCGACCCTTGATTTGCCAATCCTCGCCTTTACGTCTGCATCAGATTCTCCTTGTTCATCGATGATGCTTCCCAGGTATGTGAAGAATTCTACATCTTCCAGAGTTTCGCCATCAAGAGTGATTGGATTGCTGTTCTCCGCTTTGAATTTGAGGACCTTGGTTTTCCCTTTGTGTATGCTGAGGCCTACTGATGCAGAGACTGCTGCTACACTGGCTGTCTTCATCTGCATCTATTCGTGTGTACGTGATAGGAGGGCTAGGTCATCTGCGAAGTCCAAATCGTCAAATTGATTCTGAGCTGTTCATTGTATTCCAGACTTTCCCTTGGATATCGAGGTCTTCATAATCCAGTCAACCACCAGAAGAAAGAAGAATGAAGGGAGTAGACAGTCTTGTCTGACTCCGGTCCTTACTTGGAATGCATCTGTAAGTTGGGTGTCTACTGCGTCGTTCATCCGGTTCAGCAACACTCGTTTAGTGGCCTGCCTTCTTTGTACCTGACCAGTCTCTCTGGTTTACTATATTTCCCTGCTAGTTTCTTCGTTATATCGTAAAGCTGTTTCATATTTCCTCCGTCGTTGCTAATTCTTCCACGTATTTCCGCTTGACGGCTTCAATGCTTCTTTTCACTTGCTAGTTCGCTTCTATGTACTCAGCTTGTGCTTGGACCGTCTCTGCTTGTGTTCGGCTGTTGTTAATTGCTGTCTTTTTATTCCTTCTTTCTTTGATCTTGTCCAGTGTTTCTATAGAGATCCATACCTTATGATGATGCTCCTTGAGGCCCAGAACCTCTTGACACATTGAAGTTAATGCTCCTTTGATACCTTCCCAGTTTTCCTCCATAGTAGTTTCTTCTTCCTTCAGTAGATCCTGTAAGGCTTGGAACCTGTTGTTGAGAGCTATTTTGAATTCATTGAGTTTGTCAGTATCTCGAAGGAAGGCTGTATTGAAACTTTGTAATGCTGTTTGTCCAGTACTTCTTTAGCTTCAGTTTTAAATTGGCTACAACTAAGTGGTGATCTGACGCTACGTCAGCTCCTCTCCTAGTTTTCACATCTTCCATTGTCCTTCGAAATTTTTTGTTGATGCAAAAATGATCTATCTGATTCTCTGTAGTGTGGTCAGGTGAGATCCACGTAGCTTTGTGTATACGCTTGTGTGGAAATATTGTGCCTCCTATGACTAATTTGTCGAATGCACATAGATTTGCAAATCTTTCTCCATTTTCGTTTCTTTCTCCCAGTCCATGTCGTCCCATAATATCTTCATATCCGGTGTTGTCTATTCCGACTTTGGCATTTAGATCTCCCATCAGAATAGTTAGGTCCTTTCTTGGGCATTTCTCAATGATTGACCGCAGCCGCTCGTAGAATTGATCTTTAATGTCGTCGTTGCTATCATTGGTGGGTGCATAACATTGGATAATATTCATTGTGATCCCCTCCTTCTTTCTTTCGAATGATGCTTTGATGATTCTGGATCCGTGAGATTCCCATCCTACAAGTGCATTTCGTGCTACCTTGGACAGCATTAGAGCAACTCCCTTAGTGTGTGGAGCATTTTCCTCTTCGTGACCGGTGTATAGCAGCATCTCTCCTGTATTTAGCCTTTGTTGTCCAGCTCGGGTCCAATGGGTTTCGCTGATTCCCAGTACTACCAAGTTGTATCTCCTCATTTCCGTTGCTATTTGACTAGTCTTTCCGGTCTCTCACATTGTTCGGACGTTATATGTACTTATAAAAGTTGTTGCTCTGGTATTTAGAAGGGTCATCGACCTCGTGGCTTTTGAAGGAACTCGTCTTTCATCATGAAGCCTCATAATTCTTCTAAATGAAGAACTTCTAACTCTCAGGGCACAGTGTAAATGGTTTGAATTATTTTTTTCGGTAAGCGTTTTGTTAGCTAGTAAGTTTTCTACGGGATTAGGTCGCTAACCCCATGCCCAACCCTCATTCTTTACCCGGGCTTGGGACTGACAGTAACTCTAGAAGAGCTACAGGTGGAGTTTAGTAGTAGTTACTGCATGTTTATAACAAGATAGAGAAGAAACCATGGAGCATT